ATTTGTTCCTTTCCCGCACATCTTGCATAAAAATTTTCCAGCGCCAACATCCCGAAAATATTATTTTTTTGAGTCAAAAGCCCAAACAGAAAAACTGGTGCTTCAGACTAGAAAGGATGAGAATAATTTCTGTTATATAAACTAAATCCTAATTCCTAGACCACATCTCTATGCTTCACTTCCACCACCAATTAGCTTCTTTTCCTTTTTGATTTCGAGTTATAGTTACAACATCAATCAGAATCAAAATTTAACGTCAAAAGCTAAAGCTAGAAGAGTTCGTAAGGCGATTTTAGGGCAGCCGATCTCGTACCTGGTCGAATGTAAAGTTAGCAAGGATGGTGTTACAACATGTGGTGGAAGAAAACTTAGGAAAGCCGTATGTGTTTCATTCCTTAGCTGCAAACACAGAAACAGAAGTATGTGCAGACAAGTGCATATTTCAAAGATTTTAATTCCATGAATAACTTTGTTCCTAGCTGAATTATTTTGAATGAAATGCAAGCAGATAGACGTAAGCATACGTGCACATACACACACTTTTTCAGAATGCTTCTCATGAAAAAGATGCAAAAATTCAAAGTTAGAAAACTGGTTGAATTTCGTTTTAAGTAAACTGAAAAAAATTTGTTTAGGGAACGAGAAAGTGCTGCATTTTCAGTAAAAAGCAGACAATTCATGATTGTTGCTTTCTGCAGACATTCATCCTGAACTGGAGGTAGCGAGAGAGGAAAAGCGCTTGTGACTCACTGGAAGAGGGAGAAACAAAACGAAACGTCGATTACGAATTTTGATATTTCTTTTCAAAGTACATGCAACTGTAGCAAATTCAATGCATCCAGCAAAGCCAAACAATTTTCCCGCATAGTGTGAAAAGGTTGAAATGCAAACGCTTTCAGTCGATGCTATTTATTTTGGCTCGCAGTTGCCGCCGACACAACGAAAAACGTAGAAAAGTTTCATTTACAAAAGCGGAAAGATGAATTTTTCAAATTTACGGGAAACTGCGAAATTTCATTTATTTATCGTTTAAAAATATTTTGCACCGAGTGACGAGGATGCATCTCGCCAAATGCATAATTACGAGGAGCAACGCGCAGTGCTTCCGATAAAGGAAGCGGGCGGAGGGTGGCCCAGTTCTCGGCCGCTTCTATTCTCGTCACCATTTTTGTATGATGAATATGACACTTTTAATGCCTATTCGTAGAATTTACATTTCTGAAACATTTTTATGCGTTTTTTTTTTTTTTTTGAAAAAAAATTAATGCAATTCAAGAACGTATATCGTCACGAATTTTTTATCCACTTTCGGCTCATCAATCAAAGAAACTAAAAAAAACCGAAAATTTTACAAACATTTTTTCGGTCTATGTGTGACACCTAAACCTAAAATTAAATTCACATACACTAAGCTTATGAGGTCTCCTTTCCAAAGCATTTTGCACCGTTCCATTTCACTTAAAAGCCCGTCCAGCTCTTTGATTTGTGTCTATCTGATGAAATTCCACATTGCTACGGCCAACCCTTTCGCCTAACTTGGCCGCTTTTCGTTTTTTTATGATTATTTGCCATCTACCAATTACTGCCAGTCTCTGATGCTTTTTTCTTCCTTTCAGGGCACAAGTGAAGCTTAGCCCCCTACATCTGGCTTCCTTTTCTTTTCTCCCTTCAGAAAGGGCCCAGATTTTGCATAATGTTGCTCCTCCTCACGCGAATAAACAACGCGCAGTTAGCAATATTTTAGCCACAGATCTGGACAACTCCAAAACAGTATTTAAATCATTTGTAAACTCACGCGTCGCACAAGATCTCCAGGCCGTGGCCAGTCGCGAGGCCAATCATCCCAATCACGATACCAGCGATCACTTTCCCAAAAGGAATCCTCGAAGCGGCTCATCCCACGATCATCTCGCCAACGACGATCAATTAAAGTCATTTTTCGAAGAAATATAAAAGGACTTCGCTGTTGAACTTTTCTGAAAAATAAACTGCCAGTGCATTTTTTTACAAATATATGTCGAACACGCTGAGCGGACAAATGAAAATTACGCTTATCCAACTAGCCACTCGGAAAAAGATTCTCACGTGAATTACACATCCATAATCTTTCGACTTTGGATTGGAGTTTCAACGAAAAGAATTTGCTCTATAAAGAGACAGCATTGAGAAGAGGAAAACGAAAGATACTAGAGGCTATAGACAAACACAATAAACATCGCATATCAATGAATGGTACCCGGGAGAAAAAACAACCTCTCGGTGAACTTCTAAAGAGTAGTGCATGGTAAAGACGATGATTAAGGACAGGAGAAATGCATTTTATATCTTTGTGGCCATGCTTGTCGCGTCGGCGCATCTCAGTAACATCGAGCATTTCAGGCTGATAAACTTGGTAATGCTAGTATTTCCGCTGCTAATAATTTCTAAAAACTCCATGCCTCAGCCTTCAATACCCAACAAACTATTCCAGGAGAATCTGGCGTCTTCTGTTTTCAAAAATTTTCATCGCACTCCCACAGATAGTTTTAAAGCATTTGCTCTAAAGTGTAACAGCGTACAAAGCCGATATTCCAAGTGCCAGTGGGAGGAAGCTGTGAAACTTGGAAGGCCTAACGAGGCGCATCGAAGTGTGTGGCATGTGCTGAATGGCAAATGAAGCGACAAAACTGAAATTGGAGACGACCACATTCGACCCTCGGGCATCGCAGAAAACGTCAAGGGAGTTGCTGTCAAACAGAATTTCGAAATGAAAAAGAATAAAAACGATGAAAATTAAACGCTTGCGAAACTCATTCATACAAAATATGAGACTAAATGTTTGTCACAATGCTGTCGGCTTTTGCCCTCTTTTTTCTTTGTCCCTACCCCTCCCAGTCCTCGCTCTGTTATGAGTCAGAGTTCCGAATCCAGAATCGCAAAAGTTTATGTAAATAATGCTCGTGACAGATTAGGTGCCAGGGCTGACGCACAGTTCACGGTTTTTGGCAGCAGAAAAACAAATTCACAAAAGCAATTCAGCGCAGGGCTGATTTGCCCGGATCGAGAGGGAGAAGGGGGAGGACGAGGAGGGGGAAGGGAGAAAGCAAATTTTTTGAAAATGATAAATTCGATTACGCCTCAAAACGAAACTTAAAAGTAAGTTCTAATATTAAATAATGTCAAGAAAAATTCTGTGCTTTCTAATAACCTACTGTTTCTTGTCTTATTCTAATACTGAGCATTTGTCTGCTTCTTCCAATAGCATGAAATTCCCGATGCACGGTTGGCGTTCAGGACAGTTCTGAAGACTTAGCAAAGCTTCCAAACAAAGCTACGACTTAATAATTTCTGTTACAATTTTAAAAATTCGGGCTCAAAATGTCTTTGAATCAATATTTGAAGAATTATCAATCTGCTGTCCATTTTCCCCTTGTGTTGAAATTTCATATTCGAATAAAACTATGGTCCCGTACGACCCTAATTCACCAGCATCCGCTGCACTGACCACAGCTATTCATTTGGCAGCTAAGTTGGATCTGTATAGTACTCCAGATCCTCTACTTTCAGCATCGCAAGCAAATCCCTCTGATAATAACAAAAAATTTGTTCGGGATCCGCATAAACTGCTGTGCATGTTACATCGGCGCACAAGATTTATCCAGTTTTTAGGCGTACGTGAAAAATCATTCGCACTGGCGCAAATAGACCCCGTAATTTCAAACCGAATAAAAGCCAAATTACGAGTTAGTAAAATTGTCTTTTGTGAATTCTGGCACAATTACCTACCTCCAGGCTAAAGCTGATCGTAAATGCACAATTCAGTTTTTTTTTTCTTTTTAATGTGCCTCATCATTTTCCCTTCTTTTTTTTCAGAAATTTGATGTTTAATTTGAAAACCAGTTCAGAGAAAGTGACAAATAAATTTAATTGTCTAGGGCAAAAAAAACACATACAGACGCGTACACGCACATATAATACATGCATACATACATGCAGGCACATACTTACATACACTGTTCGAGTGAAAAATTGCTCCTGAAAAAAGTGATTCCCTCTATGGTCCCTTAATTTAGTTATCGATGATTGCGGTGCTGGACGCCAGTGCATCAAGATTTCGGTTAATTTTTCAAGTAATTTTCGAAAGGGTAATCTATGGAATTTTTTACTAGGATTTTTTACCAAGTTTTTAGGAGTTCACTGTCTAACAGGTCAGAGACAAGCGGGTCCGCTTCTCAGAAAGCAAAATACGAAGGGTCCGAAATTCGTAGAAAATGTGCACTAACACGTCACGATTCACCTCGCTGCTTGGACTTTCTGTGCAGCTGCCCATAGTTTGAAATAAGCCGCAATTGTGTCCCCATAGAATCGTTGGAAACAATTTCATAATTGAGGTCAAAAATCAACAAAAGTTGCCCTCCTGGCAGATGAGGTATAGCAAACAAAGCAGGTAGGGTGAGTGTTGCCCGAATAACACGGGGCTCAACAGCCAGTCAGCCACAAAACCGGGTTCACACACCTTGCTCCTGTCAGCAGGTGGTTGATTGGCGACATCGATTTCCATAACTCCTTGCTACTTTTTTACAAAAAAACAGAGGAAATTTCTAAAAACAGAAGTTTTGCTATTCAAAAAACAAAAATTTCGGACAAATGCTGGATTGCTTCTCTTCCGAAAGATGACTATTTTTGCAAAAACAAACCCAAACAACACTGATTGCCCAGCAAGGCCTCTGCTGTAAGACAACTGCAAATGGATTAGGAAAAAGGAGAAATCCAACATTCAGCTTCGGACAAAATACGCAATTTGTAAAAATCCGTTTGTGTAAAACTAAAAAAAATATGCTTTTGAATGTTAAAATCCTAAATAGCAAGAAAGCTGCAGGGAATCACTGGCTGTCTATGGGAATTTCACAACGAGGCTTCTGGCATTGTGTATTCAGCTGCAGCGGCTTATCCCATGGAGGAGCGGTGCGGTGGGACCATCGTTTTTGCAATTCCACGAAATACAGCCAGGGGATATCTACTGACACAGAGAGAGATGAAAAAATACTTGGCTGACCGTAGATAATAAATTACTTGTTAAAAGCAAGCAGAACTATAAACGTCATCTATAGAATAGATATTAGATAACAGTGAGATATGTTGGAGATATTAAAGACTAAAACCCATAAAATATATAATAAAATGGCTATTTAGCTGAGATTAAGGTGTTTTGGTCCACTGCGCTGAGAAGCTCTTAAATTAGCGCTACAGTTGGATTTCATTAGTACAACAGTTTTAACATGAATTATTGTTTTTATATAGCAAATAATAGAATTATCATTATATAGGAGGAGAAAATTTTGCAATTGAATGAAAATTTAAATCCAGATATTTAAAATTAAGGCTATAAGTTCGCCGACGAAGCAAGAGGAACTAGGACAAGAAACGAATTTGTCAGGTCGCACTATTAATATGCATCAAATTTTGTTGGAATTTTTCCAAACCCTTGCTTGAATTGGAACTAAAATGCGCAAAAGTAGCAGCCAACTGCATTTTTCAGAATTTAGAATCTGATGCCAACTGCACACTCTGTGCTAAATGGTGCCAAAAGCAATTTCGCAAAATCGGCAATGCCCATTGATGGTCCGAGAAATCTTGGTAATGACAATGACTAAAAATAACTGGACACTAAGAACAACCAAAAATGGTAATAAAAACTAAAGGTACCTCGTAGTAATAAAACCTAGCATAGCTTAATCTCGGCCACCAAGAACCTCAGCCTAAATCAACTCAGTGGGTGCTCCTACGCTTCAGATACAACTGTCTAAAAGAGGACCCAATTTCTCAAGATTTCGAAACGCGCTACTGAGCCAAAGAGCCAAATGGATCATCCATCGATGGTCAACTTCACGTTGAATTCTTGAATGACTGTCAGTGACGCTACCGATCATAAATTTGCCTTTATAAGCGGCTAGGAGTGAGGCGAGGCAATTGTGGATCGGAGAGGCAATGGGGGGAAAGCGAAGTTCAAAAGCTACGCCTCTGCGACCTATTTCCGGTTTTTTTTCTGTAACAAACACTGCTTTCGGTGGCATTACTTTCACGCCAATACGATGAGTCAGCAGACGAGACATTCCGTGAAATTTCCAGAATCCAAGGTTTTAATTCCAGGGCAAAATTACGTTTACGTTTTTATCAAATGATGTAACGCTTAAGCATCGCCATGACTCATCATCCGTCTATGCTTTTAACAGAAATTATCTGTCATCCATTTTTAACATTTTTTTTTCGATGTATCAACAGCAGCATAAACAAAAAAAAAATTCCTCATAGATTTTCGTTTTCAGTTTTTAAACTTTGATGTTAACATCCATCAGGGCAGCAAATGTATAACGACATACCTGTAAAAACTGTATGGGATCAACACACATATACAAATTCACAGACACATACATAGATGTATGGGC